GAGAAATGTCATAAACAACATCCAAGCAGGATACAATGTGGGCCCAAGGGGCATCTCACTATCTTCTATAGACACACACACAAATAATTTATTCAACTCTTTATCATGCGAGCAAACATTATTTCACATAGTGGTTTTGAAATCTGACTGTGAAAAATAAAATATCTCTAGTGATATACAAACTGATCAACCAACTATGTATGATATTCATGTAATTAAAAAATTTCAACACATTTACTTTCTTTTCTAAAATAGCACTGCTTTTTCTTTTTTTGATTAAATTTTACATAGCATCACTTTTTTTTTTTTAGAGGGGGAAGTAATTAGATTCATTATTTTCTTAATGGAGTTACTGGAGATTGAACCCAGAATTTCATGCATGCTAAAAATACACTTTACCACTGAGCTATACCCTCCTCCACATTTACTTTCTTTACATCAGTGTTGTTTTGTAATTCCAAAAGGTAAAATTAATACCTTCATGCTTTAATGACAATCACCAGAACATTTTCCTACTGATGACGCAGATTGCTTTCGGTTTATGCTACAATCTATTTACATTTCCTTCTTTTCTTATAGTAATTATTTATTTTTATAGAGAAATAAGACATGTCTCTTACATATAAAAATCTTATGTGAAAAAAATTAAGTATATATATGAAGTGTCTTAGAACTTAGAATAAAATGTAACATTGGGTATGAGGTGAATGGATGGTAAGTGCTATTATCCATGACAAGTTAATTCTGTGAAGCTTGAACTCTCACAATTTTCATTACTAAAAGTCATAAGAACAATGTCTAAATGTATATCCTTAACTGCTATAAAAAGACTTGACAAGATAGAACTCTAAAATCTCACATTCCTTTTCACTTGTATGTCAAGGCAATAAAGCCATATAAAGCTTCTCACCATGCCATTCAGGGAACTGCTCCATGCAGAGAGATCCTGACCATGACAAGGACTCAGGAAAAAAGGAAACAATGTAGTACAGACGTCATTGATTATGGATATAGGAATCTGATGCTGAAAAGTAGGCTTAATTTGTAAATCTTTCATTTTCATGACAATAGAAATTGCCGTCAAGACGTGGGATCCTTGGACTTTCTGTTTCAAACACTGGAGTAATTAATTGCAGCAGAATGATACATACAGTCAGCACTTCGTGACAAGTGTGAAGCAGGGAGAATGCTTCAACATTTCTTTCAGTTATGGGTTAGTGTGACTTCCATATGGGCAAAAGGAATCTTAATCCCTCTACTTCACCCTCTATGCAGTGATTCTCAAATCTGGAAATATTTTTTTGTTAAATAAAGATTCCTGGACCTCCATCCCAAATGAAATTCAAGATGTGAGATGTGAGATGTGAAGTACAGAAATATCTGCATATATTTTTTTAATGTCCTGGTCCTATTTTCATGAAGTTGGTACAATAGTAAGAAGAATGAATGAATTGAGAGACAAATTTATTTTAGCACCTAGAAATTAAATCTACCTCTTCCTAGAGACTTGCATTCATTTGAAGTAGCCATGTGGTATCACACCAGTTTCTCTTCTCTGCTGAGCTTTCTCTTAATTATTTCTGTGTGACCATTTCCAACCTGGAAAGTATTCCTCTTAACAGCAAAGATGGAAAGATTAATCAGTTCATTTATTTTTATTTTGTCTGTTCAAAAATGCCTACCTGGCAGCTCTTGTGTTCCAGGCACTCATGTGCTGGGGTAAATGGGCACAGGCATACGAATGATAAACAAGCACATTTTCAAATCCATAAACCACAACTGTGTTAAATGCTAAATGGGAAAATGCAGCAAGCACTACCTTAGTTAAGGGTCAGAGAATGCTCCCTCTTCCACTCACAACAAACCTCTCCACTAAGGCATAAGAGAGCTATGTCTCTTATGCCTCAATGTCATACTTGTTGGTTTTTATTTGAGCTAAACAATTCCAATCAGCCTGCACTTATTCTAAGGTTAGGCTTCCTGAAAATGGCAAGCTTTACGTGTTAAATTAACCTGTAGTTAATTAGACTAAACACTAAAATTTTTAAGATTTTTAGTACGTGGTTTCATTATCTTACACTTTATTATAAAAAATAACTTATTCATTAGTCATTTGGAATTTGTTGTTTTATGACGTTAGTGGTTAAAATACAATAGCAGAGCATGAATATAAACCCAGAGGAATGAGTCTGCAATTAATTAGTTTTAGGATTTACAGTATTAAGTGTCAAATTTGAAGACTAGGGCTATCCTAGTTTTTCTTAAATAATTCTTTAAACTTCTTGTTTCACCTACAGGTATAAAATCTTGCTAGAATATAAAGATTGCCTTATTGGTTAATTTAAAAGATATTAGAAGTACAGGGCTGTGTTCTTACATAACATTTACAATTTAAACTAGTTCTAACAATAGATACACTCTCTCAAGCAAATGTTAAGGAGAGTTGTTTTTCCAGAAATTTTAACCTGGCAGGAAATACCACTTAACATGTCATATGCTTACTTAAAAAAATGCCACCAAAGAAAGAAAAATAATGCAAAAGCAAAAAATAAATTTTGAGTGAATTGGGGGTATAAGTAACAGCTTAATTAGATATCTTAGAATATCCCACATTCAAGCCCAAGCTGTTTAATCGCTTAGAATAACCTGAAAAGGGAAATCAAGGCTAAAAATGTTGCTATTTCATTTCTTATTTCATTTATTGTAGCATAAAAAGTAATAACATAGAAACTGGCGCTAAATTGTCTGGGTTTAAATTCTGGCTCCATCTATTCCTAGCTGTGTGACTTAGGGCAAGTTACTTCACCTCTGTGCCTCCTAATTTGAGGTCATGATAGTTCGTTTTTATAAACAACTTTCTAGGTAAAATTTTCATGTGTTTTTCATTCGTTTAATTGTAGTAGGACATTTTTGTCAAACCAGGGTGAAAAACAGCTTCAGCATCATCTGTCACAGAGTTCAAGGGTCTGAGTCCCCCACCCAATTTGTTAAATGGTCTTAGGTCTATTCCTAGCTACTCAATTTTTACAATAAAAAAGATCATAGGATGTTTGTTAATATGCAGAATTATGGATAACTAAGTATTTTCTCTAACACTAAAAATCTAGATATTTAGAAATATTTGAAAGCATACCCAAATTTTAAACTGTTGTATGAAAGTATTTTCTGTCCTTCTTCTCCCATCACACAACCTATTATTCCCCCTTAGGGAATTAAAATTTTCCTTGACTGATTAGTGAGGCTGGGGAAAAAAGTGAGTTTTGCCTGGCTCAGACCCTTTGGGAGATATCTGCTTCGAGAATATATGGGCTCTGCCCTGCTCTACATTTAGTCCAGCAATTTTAGCGAGAGAAGACCCAGGTGTTTTCCATCAGGCAGATTTGAAGACCTGTCATTCTCTGACTGGTTTAATGGACCGAGCAGATATGAGGTAGTGCAGTAATTCCTGGCATGGTTTTCTGGTATATTGGCTCTGCAACTGAGTTTTGGATGGAATTTCTCAAAAAACAACTGTGAGCGAAGTTATTAGGGCCTGCAGGGTGGCCTCACCCCAAGCCAAATTCCATTTGTCTAAGTAGTTCTCAGGTGACCTTAAACACAAAGAAGAAATAATACCATTATCACATCTACAAACTCCAACATAAATATTTGTTGTTACACAGTCTTGTCTCATAGAACTACTTTTTTAAATAATTCACTGCTCTACTCAAAGTATTTATTTAAAATCTTTTCAGTATCTCTTGTGTAATGCCACTACATTTTAGAGTAGGACAGACTGTCGAGACAGTTTGCTGACTACTTCCATGCCATTTAATATTAACTAACATTTCCAAGGAAACATGCTTCTTAGCATTTTCTGTCCTGGTGAAAATTGTATAGATTTAAAATGTACAAAAATTCAAAGTTTGCATTAGCAATCTGGAACATTTTAAGAATCTGAGAGAGGAGCATATTCTAAGGTATTTGTGATGGAAGGCCAATGATGAAAGGTACAGAAATAGATACAGATATAGTTTCCCCACTTCTGGGATTCACAGTACAGCCAGCTGACTTCATTTAATTCATCATTTCCTAAACTGACTTGACTATTAAACATATCAGCTCTCAATGTTTATAAACAAAAAATTAACAGCCCTATGAACTTTTATTTCAGTGAATATGTCTGGAAAATATTTGACGGATTGAGCCTATATAAGAATAGTCTACTTGTTTATTAAATTTCTATATAGATTGAAAGATCTAAAGTAGTTTTGTAGAAGTAAAAGAACTATTTTAAGCTATTAGCCCTTTAGTTCCCTTTGTTCACTTGAAGGAAACATACCACTTTGACAGAGGCTTCAAGAACTTGTACACAACTGTGAATCTAACTTTTCCCCATAGTAATTTTATGTTCACATTTTCTAACAGTAATTGTCCACCCTCCTGGGGAGGTGGTGAAGTGAGCTACTAAGAAGTAGCAAAGGACGCCACTCCACACTGGGCTGAGTCATGTCTTGGTTAAATGGGTACTGGGGGGAGTTATTACCTATTAAAATTTTTCTTCCTTTTCCACCAGACCCTTAACATTATGAAATATGGTATTTTATTCAAATCACAAGTCATTCTTTCTGAACAAGATGTTGCATTTGATTACAGGACAGGGAAAAGCACAGAACTAAAAAATATGGAAAATGTTCACCTTTTGTGAAATCATCTTGCTTTAAAGACCTTTAAAGGCTGTTGGCTGAAGAAGCAATTGCAATCGCAAATTGTTTTTGAATGTCTTTGGGTGAGCACTTTTGCAACTACAAATAGAAATTATGTTAAACTTTCTACCATAGCTTTGATCCACAATGGATTACAAAAAAAAAAAATCTAATGATTAAGTAATGTCAATTGCAAAGATGACGTAATAGGGAAAACGTTTCATTTAAAGTAAAAGAAAATTTCAAATGATCATGCTAATAGACTATTACTAGTTTACCATAAGCCTAAGTCACAGATAAATATAAAAGTCTTACGTATGATGAGCTGTATATATCTTTCAGACTACTTCAGGTTTCAGACTTCATAGTTGTGTCCAAGATGTAATATACCTATTAAGAGAAATTACAAGCAATTTTTAATTTATTTGAATTACTTGGCCACTTATTCTTTATACTAGATATAAAGTAGGAATAGCATGATAAGGTAAGAGACACAAATTTTTAAATCATGTGAATATTTTATAGTGCACTGCTGAATAAAGAAACCAGAAATTAGAAACAGTCACAACAAGCATATGTCAAGACATGATATGTGTGTGTTTAATTAAAATGCTGATATATATATATATATATCAGGAAATATATATATATTAGAAAATAAACATATATATTAGGAAAAAAGTCTAAATGTGGACATTAAAAATCACAAATTTCACATAAGATTATTATGTTGTGATCATGATTTTGGAATATAATGTATTTCTATGAAATAACGTCTTGGAGAAAATTATTATCATTTATGTCTTCACCTTAAAAACCCAAGAATGAAAACATGAAAATGAACTTATAGTGCCATTTATAAAAAAAGATTACTATATTCCAGTGTTGGTTGTTGAAAATTTATTTAAATGTAAGGTTATAGGACTAATGAGAAAAAGTACCACTTCAGTAGAGGAAAAAAATTCTGGTTGTCCATTTGACAACCATTCTGGGAAGCAGACCAATGGCCCTTACCAAGGATCTGCACATCCTAAATCCTAGAACTCTGAATAAATTCATTTATAATGACAAAAAAGAATTTGATTATAATTAAAGATCTTAAAATAGAAAGATTGCCCTGGATTATCTGGGTGCACGTAATCTAATCAGTGAAACTTAAAGTGGCTATGGTCAGAGAGGGAGACGTGACTCCTGAGGAATGGTCGGAGAGATACGATGCTAACTCTGAAGGTGGAAGCAGGGGCCACAAGCCAAGGAATGTGGACATACTACTGAAGATGGAAAAGGCAAGGAAACAGATTTTCCCCCAGAGTCTGCACCCCAGAAGGAGTGCAGTCCAGCTGACATTTTGATTTTAGGCCAGGAAGATATATATCAAATCTCTATGAAATTATAAGATAATAAATGTGTGTTGTTTTAAACCATTAAGTTTGTGGTAATTTTTTCAACAGCAATTGAAAACTAAAGCAACCATTTTATTAAACTTTTATTTGAGAAAAGGAGAAAATTTAAGATATCATCAAACAGATACAAATGCTTAAGAGAAATTTATTCAAGGACTGTTTCATGTGCATCTGTTATACAATACAAAATTACCACGTAATGCCCACTTATCTTTAGACCTAGTGACAATCACCTGCTATTTGCCGTGTTCTATAAACTAAAGTGATGGCACTTAGGCTCATTAAATGTTCTATATTTATAAAATCCTGACTAAATTACTCAAACACTAATGGAGTCTTTTTTCCAGCTTTATTGTGGCATAATTGACAAACAAAATTGTAGTATAGTTACAAGTGTACAACATGATGATTTGATATACATATACATCGTGAAATGACTCCCACAATCAAGTTAATTAACACATTTATTTCCTCACATAGTTTCTCTCTCTTTTTTTTTTTGGTAAAAACACTTAAGATCTACTGTCAGCAAATTGCAAGTATATAGTGCAGTATTATTAACTATAGTCACTATAGTCATATATCAGAGCCTCAGAACTTATTCATCTTTGTAAAATGACTATGACTCAATAAAAAATGTTAAAAAAAGAACTTATTCATCTTATAATTAAAATTTGTACCCTTTGACTAACTTTTGCCCATTTCCGCCCCCAACCCAGCCCCTGACAGTTACTTTTCTACTCTCTGTTTTTATGAGTTCCTTTTCTTTTTTCTTTTTTTATTTTAAGACTCCACATAAAAGTGATACCAGACAGTATTTGTCTTTCTCTAACTGGCTTATTTCACTTAGCATAATGTCCTCCTGATTCACGTGCACCTGAATTGTTGCAAATGGTAAGATCTTCTTTTTAAGACTGCCTCATACTCCATCATATACATATATATGGAATGAAAAGGATCATCTACTGCTTCCTATCCCAAATTATACACGGCACAGTGTTGGGGAAGAACGTCCTTCCCTGAAGTCCTACACCGCTCTACCGAAAGGTACCCATTAGAATTTCTGTGGACATGAGAATGCCTGAATAATGGCGAGATAAAAATTGGTTAAATGGCTGTCATTCAAAATGCTTCTCAAGTGACTTTGGTTTGGAACAACACCATGAAATAATGCTTTTCATTTTATTTTATCGCTAATTGCAAAATAATAAATGTTCATCGCAGATATATAGAAAATGCCAGATGAATAATAAAATTGAAATCATCTGAAATCTCATTACTAACTGTGGTGTTTAGTATTTTTCCTGCTACATAGGTATTTAGAACATGTGATTTTTTACAGGATCGAAATGGTATAGTATATATAATTACTTATTTTTTCCTCTTTTGTCATATTTTATTGAGTTTTCAGAACTGTACACATTTTTCATTTAAAATCTAATGAGGTTGCTACTCATTTCTCATTTCCAATTTAGAATGCCTGTGTTTTTGTTGTCATTATTTTATAGGATTTTTTTAAAATCTAACTACAAAATGTATTTACTAATTCTATTATTTTACTGTTTTACAATTATTATTAATATAGTTGGATTAAATAAAAACTTTTTTCTCTTTCTTTCCATAAGCCTACTTTATGGAAATAATTTGAATAGATCAAATACATCATTTATTTTATTTTTAAATAATTTCAAGTTTTGAATTTTCCTATTATTCATGCTTTGGTAGTGTAACAAAAAGATTTGTTCTTTAACATGTTTGGTTTTTCAGTGTTTTGTCTAATTTTAAAT